TGTGTTGATTTCAGAGAGTCATGTTTTCCGACATTGTCCTCAAAGTCTGGAGATGTGCTCTATTTCCAACCTGTGAATTCCTTTAGGACACATGGGACATTTTGAAAATCCTGTAGATAATTTTAAAAGTTCAAGGGCAGTAAACAAGGATTACTTAGTCACAATTTTAATGGAACAGGAACTGGTTTTCCCTGAGTTTTTCTATTGACTGCAGAGATTCAGGGAAGATCTCCTATGTGTCCAGCCCTGTGGGAAGTGCTTGAGGAACACAAAAGAAGCATGAGATGCTGTCCCTGCAGTCAGAAAGCCATCATTTCAGTTGGGTGGAGGGAATCACCATGGTCATGGCCCATAGATACGTCTCAGATGGCCTGTGTGCCAGGCCCTGGGGCAGGGACCTCACACACTGTCTTCAATCCTCACAACAGACCTGCAACATTTCTCATCCTTATTCAGATAAAGAAACTGAGGCTCCGTTGGTTCAGTGCTGTCCAACGTCCTCCAGCTATAAAATCCAGGATTCCAGTCTTAATCTGTTTTTATCTGAAGCCCAAGCTCTTTCCACTCCCTTGCTGTGCTTGAGAGAATTCAAATATGGGGAAGAATGGAAGTCAATTGAGCCTGGAGAAGAAGGAAACCATTTTTTTTAATTTAAAGCTCAATCTATATTTATCTCCAATTTTAGATTCCTGGGTTATTAAAGAGAGCTTCTGCATTTGGGGATGGTTCTGCTCAGGGGTTTTCAAGTATTTGTTTTTCTTCAGGAGACGTGGCCAGTCACACGAGCTAATGTTTCACTTCAGCTCCCAGGATTTTCTTTTCTTCTTCTTCTTCTTTTTTTAATTAAAAAATTTTTTTTCTTAACATTTATTTTTGAGAGAGAGACCGAGTGTGAGTGGGGGAGGGGCAGAGAAAGAGGGAGACACAGAATCTGAAGCAGGCTCCAGGCTCTGAGCTATCAGCACAGAGCCCGATGAGGGGCTTGAACTCACGAACCATGATGAGATCATGACCTGAGCCGAAGTCGGACCCTTAACTGACCTAGCCACCCAGGCACCCTGTGTGATTTTCTTTTTTAGGAGAGGGTAACAGTATTGCCTGGGTTGAAAGGGTCATGACTGGATGTTAGCACCACATGATTGCATACCAGCCTTTATCTTCATTTAAAACAAGTTCCAGTTGAGGAGAATGAAGTATGCTTTGCTGGAGGCAATGAGCAAAAAGGTTGGGCTGCAATTAATAGACCCTCTAAAATCACAAGGGCTCAACAGTTTTATGTCTCATGTAAAAATCCCCGGGACAGCCAGGGCAGTTACAACACTCTGAGAGGTTAGGACTCGGCTTTTCTCTTGATACTTTGCTGTTTCTGGCCTTGACTTTGACCTCAAGGTCTGAGATGCTTGTCTCCATGTTCCAGGCAGCAGGTCAAGGGTAGGGAGGACGATGAACCTGCACACTGTCTTTGAAGAGGGTGGCCGGCAGCTGCTTCATGATTAGTATTATGGTTACATCTAACTTCAGGGGAGATATAGGCTTGATTCTGGATGGCTATACACTTAGTTTTAAAGTGGATGAAGGAGATGATAATGGCTTTCAGGGGACAGCTAGCAGTCTGCCACCAAGGTCATGAGATTTGACCCTTGCTTTCTCATTCCTTCCTCAAACTTTGAACATCTGTAGCCACTTCAGTGCACACTTGAGCTACCAATTCTATGCAAACTTTCAAAAAAAAGCATTCATCACAGGGGCGCCTGGGTGGCTCAATAGGTTGAGTGTCTGACTCTTGATTTTGGCTCAGGTCATGATCCCAGGGTTGTGGGATCGAGCCCCACATTGGGCCCCGTGCTGAGTGTGGAATCTGCTTAGGAGTCTCTCTGTCTGCTCCCTCTGTTTGCTTGCGCTCTCTCTTTCTCTCTCTAAAAAAAAAACAAAACAAAAAAAACAACCAAAAAACAAAAAACCATTCATCGCAATTTAAAAATAAAGACAAAACATCATGTATTAAAATCAATAATAGTCATGATTTCATCTCAGTAAGAAGGATGGTACTGTTCACTGCCTTTCACCACAAACATCTTTTCTGGGGCCGTGATGGAGAGCTGAGGGTGCAGGTCAGCTTCCCAGGTGGTTTTCTTTCTTACCCTTCATTTTCACTAAGTTAGAAAAGCTTAAATTACAGTTTGAAGTAGCAGCAAGTGATTGATAACTCTGTCTAGTACTCCTGGATAGTGTAACCACAGACAGACATGGAAATTGAGGAGATTCCTTGCTGAAAGCCACTGCCAGTGTTTGGTCAGAACTATGTCATCCATGGAAGCCGGAAGGTTGAGTGTTTATCTTAGGACTGCCTTGTATACTCCTTATCCATCCTTTGATTTGACTTTAGTCTGAAAAGTGTGTCTTTATGCTCTACTACAGCTCTTGGAGGTGGCTGTTCACTTTGCCCAGTAGTGTGTTATGTCTGCCTCCATGGCCAAGAAAGTCATCAGGTAGGGCATAGACTGCTTTGATCCGAATACCTTTTTGTCACACTATCTGTGTAACTTTGGACAAATTATTTAAATTTTCCCTGTCTTGATTTCCTCAACTGTAAAAGAGAGACAGTGATAGTCCCTGCCTGACGGTGTGGCCGTACATCTTCTTTGTTCTAAAACACATGACTGTTTGGCTCTGTGCTGGCACATGATATGCGCTCAGTAAATACGCATCACGGCCATGGCTCTTATTTTCAGGTGTTTGCAAACTCTGGACCCTCCAAGACTTTCATACCGTGGTTCAGTCTTCATACAAAATCTTCATTTCTTCTTCCTTCTTCTCCTTTTTTAAATCATAAGCTTTCATCCCCAAAGTGGGGAGTAGGTTCTGGGTATGTGAATTACTGAATGTATTGTGCGCCTGCCGTTCAGAATCATAGAATCATAGAGATGCAAGTCTTCACTTGCATTCTGAACACCATAAAGTGTCTCTTTATCTTCTCCATTGTCCTGTGAGCACCGTCAGTAGTCCATATACTTCAATGGGGAGCGCAGTCTTCTGGTTTGCTACCTGTTTCTCTGCCTAGCACACTGGAAAAGCCGATGGTAAGAGGCTGGATGTGAATGGCTTCCACTGTTATCTTCAACACAAAACCAAGACCAGAGAGTGGATTGATGAACACCAGCTGGTCTTTATGAATGAAGCTGGGGAATGATTTTCAAAGGGGACACCTTTTACGTGAGCGGGAATACCTTTGTCGCACGCAGAGTTGGTGTCTTCTCAGTACTGGTCTCCGTGCTTCCTGCTTCACAAAATACACCGTAATTCAGTAGAAGCCTCAGGGGGCCTAGGGGGTCAAGAAGTACAAGCACGTCTGTCTGTGGAGCACACTCACTAGGACCTGATTCCCACGCTGCCCCCTGACATCAGTAGCAGGCTGGCCAGCACACCAGCATCTTCCCACCACGGTGCACGGGTTTTAGGGGATCTCTGACGGTCATCCAATGAAGGCATGGTGCTGCCTGCTTGCTATGCTTTCTCTGCGAACACCGCATTTGTAATGAACTCTGCAGGTGGTTTTAGAAGCTTCTCACCAATAATGGCACTTTTGCCCATTTTTCTGACTTGTTTTGGTTTCCTTTCATTCTTTAGTGACAAAACTAATTGAATTAAGGTCAGAGGTAGTTGTTTTCTTTTTGTATTTGTTTTGAAAAAATTTTGAGGTTTTATTTGAAGATGGGGAGAAACTGATGGCTTGACATCATAATCTGATCAAAAATGTTTTAATGTTTATTATTTATTATTGAGAGAGAGAGAGAGAGAGAAAGAGAGAAAGAGAGAGCTAGCAGGGGAGGGGCAGAACGAGAGAGAGAGAGAGAGAGAGAGAGAGAGAGAGAGAAAAAGAGAGAGAGAGAGAGAGGGAGGGAGAGGGAGACGGAGAGACAGAATACCAAGCAGGCTTCTTACTGTCAGCATAGAGCCTGATGCGGGGCTCAAACCCACAAACTGTGAGATCATGACCTGAGCCAAAGTCGGACGCTTAACCAACTGAGCCACCCAGGGACCTCCTGACCAGTTTTTATCACACACACTGTAGCCAGGGCCAAGTGGATTACTAAATCAATATGACCTAAATTTCAGATGCTCATCACTGCATTTCCTTTCCTTTATATTTTTTGGGTGAAGTCTATATACTCATGGAATTCCTTGTCCTGGGTCATAGATTCATATTCCACATTCACACTGGAGCCCTGTTCATGGTTTATGTTGATGATGTCATTTTACATTGTACTGTTTACATTATAATTATTGTTAAAATTTTTTTAATGTTTATTTATTTTTGAGAGAGAGAGAGAGAGAGAAAGCTGGGAAGGGGCAGAGAGAAAGGGAGACACAGAATCCGAAGCAGGCTCCAGGCTCTGAGCTGTCAGCACAGAGCCTGATGCGGGACTTGAACCCATGAACTGTGAGATCATGACCTAAGCCGAAGTCAGATGCTTAACCAACTGAGCCACCCAGGCGCCCTGTTTACATTATTATTTGTATCCTTACTTTGGGGCTTAGGTGAGCCACTTTTGTCATTTGAGGCTATGACCCAGCATGATAGAGCACAAATATGTGAATGGGGTGAGTTGTAGGCTGTTCACTGAATGCTAGCAAAGGTAAACTCCCTACTTGTTATGAAGACTATAATAGGGTTTTTGCAAAAATCGTAATTGCTTATGTTTCAAATCTTGGGAACATACTTGTTTTAATTCTTCTTTTCTTCTGAAGCCACCAAGCCTCCAGGGACCACACTTTGGGAACATTACCCTGTGGTTTTTGATGAGGGCCCTTCTGGAACAGAGCTGGTGACTAGATAGGGGCAGGAGAGGACAGGACCCTGGTGTTTTGTTAAAGAGAACAAACACCAGAAACTGAAGAAATGCCAGGTCGGGGCTTCTAGTTTGGGAGAGCTAGGGAAACAGGAATTTAAGCTATGTCCTTCTAAGTGTTTCCATTTCTTCTTCCTTTGTACCTTGCAGAGTAAAAGCCAGGGATCCATCTTTGTCCGGATACACGCCCCGTGGCAGGTGCTGGCCAGAGAGGCAGAGTTCTTGAAGATCAAAGTCCCCACCAAGAAAGTATGAGCATGTTTCTTCTGGGTTTGGGGGCCTCCGGAGGGTGGGCTGGCTGGCAATAGTGTGGGAACAAGGCCAGGGTTTGGGGGATGAGGGTTTGTGGAGTTGAAATTGCTCTTGCCTCCCTAGGGACCCTAAGTATGGGGCAGTGATGTGGGTGGGGTGGGAAAGCAAGTTGGGGTGCAGAGAGGGGCCGGGTTTGGGATGTCCCTTCACCTTGGAGCTCCCCCTGGGGTGTGCTTCATGGGAAGCCAGACATTGCTCTGGTCCAGATTCTTGGTTTCTCTGTTATACTTCCTCTCTCCCTCTTCTTGAGGTCCTGACACTTCCAGGCATTTTTTTTTTTTTTTTTTTAAGACCAGGTGTAGCAATGAGAGCAGACAGCAAGCCATGTGGACTGGGTAGGCAGCATGCAGGGAGAATAGCTCCGAACTTGCTGCAAAGATCCCTATTCTGGTTGTGACTCTACCACTAAGTATTGTGTGGTGGCTTTTGCTGGTCTCCTCTGTAAAATAGAAGGTTCTTAATCAGGAGAGTTGATCAAAAGAAAACCATCCGGGGAATGTTTTTAGAATGTCATGCCAGCCTCCCAACTCTGGGATTTTGATTCAGGTGGTTGGTATGGAATGAGGTTCTGGCACCAATATTGTGAAGAAAAAATCCTCAGGAGGTTCTGATGTATATTTGGGTTGAGAACCACACAGTTCAGATGAGTTTTGAGGTTCCTTTCAGTTAGTATAGTTTATGTATAATTTCAAAATTCCCCCAGGGAATTCTTAGGTGAGCTTCTCCGTGTATAACAAAATCCAGTGAACATTTCCAAAGAGAAAGGAAAAGTGTCCACAGATTTACTATTCTTTTTTTTTTATTGTTGTTGTTAGGCATTTTAGGAGAAAACAGTGGCTGTTGACTTTGGCCACTTGTGATGTTTCTCTAGGAAGGGTTCTGGGGCACATGCTACTCTAGTCTAATGAGTGATTTATAGATGATATCTCTTTTTCTCTTTCTCGGTTTCTTTGTCTCTGTCTCCCTGTCTCTCTCTCTCTCTCTCTCTCTCTCACACACGCACACACACACACACACACACACACACACACACACACACACAAAGTATTTCATAAGTGGTGACCTAACTTTGCAGAGATCATTTTCCTCATTCTGACCACCGTCACCAGAATTTCCACCCCCATCAGGAACAGAACTCCATGTCTGTTGCTTTCTGCACTGCCACTGTTACCACCTGCCTTATCACCGTCTTCACTCTCATCACTATCCTCAGAGTCAGCAGCACCATTTTGATCAACGTCATTGTCTGTGCTTATACCGTCTTCCCTACCAATAGATCGACCGTCCCCATCAAAATTCACTCACCAAATACCAACATGTTTGCTACCCTCATGAATCCCCTACTCAAGAGGGTAAAGTCTGTGGGTTCTGTTTTTATAGGTTTATTAAGACAGACGATACCTTCGTGGCAGGTGGACACATGACAAACAGTGAACAAACATAGACGTGAATATCAGCTACAGATATTCTGCCAAAAGAAGTAAATGTTTTGGGGTCACCTGCCTGAGTGTCTTGTTTTCACAAGGACCATACCAGGGCCTTTGTCCCTTCATTTGCACTGCTGCATTGTCTCCTAGTTTTGGACCTCTTGCTCCTAATCCCATTGTCCTTGAACGCAGGCGCCATCTTTATTGTGGACCTCCACTCCTCCTCCATAGATGATTAGAGGATTTCCTGGTTTGCTGGCAACATGCCTCAAGTATCAGTCTTGGATGGAGGCTTCTGCTTCCCTCTGGTGGTGTCACAACCTGGCTAACCATTTCACTTCTCTTTCTTCTGGCTTCTAACTTTCTCTCTGCTGGCTGATCCTTGGAAAGAAGGTGAGCAAAACTCCAAAGCCCATGCTATGGCTTCTGTCTCCCAAGATGCTCCTAATAGCAGGGAAGCCAGAGACACAGAAGAAGCGTGTATCCTTCTTCTTTCCCCTTTTTGTGTCTTCTTTGCTCTCCTTGCCATCCTTCTTCCCTCTCCCTTGTACCTCTCTCTCCTGGTGCCTTTTCCTTGCCTCCCTCTCTGTTCTTGGGACATCCTACCATACCTCTCGTTTCTCTACCACCTTCCTCTCCTCCTCATTCCCAGACTCAGCCCCCAAGTAATGCCTGCCCCTGGTCTCTGCTTGTCCTTGCATAGGCTCATACCTGTGAGAGCATAGATCCGCTTAAATGACCTATTTTCCTGCAGAGTCATGTGTCCCCATACGCTTAGCCTGTTGGAACTACCATCTATAGTTTGGGTAGTACCTGCATTTGAATTTGTAGTTGGAATGATTAGGGCAAGGACATATTACAGTGCAGCCATCTCTGAGTTTCCCTCCTTCTTTGTCTTTTTTTTTTTTTTTTTTTTTTTTTGCATTTTGAAAGAAATCAAATATATTTGACATAACCTTGTGTAAATATAAGGCATACAACATGTAAATTGGGCACATTTATATACGGTAATATGATTGCCATTGTAGAGGTAATTAGCACCTGTATCACTGTTACATAATTATTCTTTCTTTTTGGCGGTTGGAATAATTAAGTTCTAGTCTCTGATTATAGTACAATGTTGTTGTCTATATTCACTCTACTGTGCCTTAAATCTCTATGGCTTATTTACTACTTGTTACTGGTTTGTACCCTTTAAACAGCAGCTGTTTTATCCCCCCACTCCATTCCCTGGTAACCACCATTTTACTCTCTGTTTTTATGGGTTTGGCTTCTTAGATTCCACTATAAGTGATATTACATAGTACAGTATTTTTTCCTCTGCTTTCATTGCACTTAGTATGGTGTGCTCAAGGTTCATCTATGTTGCAAATGGCAGGAATTCTTTTTTTCTCATGGCTGAGTAAGATTCCACTGTGTACACATACTACATCTTCTGTATCCATTCATTGGTTGATGCAGTCAGGCTGTCCCCACCCCCTTCCTTTTCCTTTTAGAGGCTGAGGGTGGTAGACACTGTGGTAGGGTCTAGAAGACCAGACTTTTAGCCTTGGTTCCATGTTTATTTGCTGTGTGACTTGGGGATGTCACTTCGTCTTCCAGAGCCCCAGTTTCCTCATCTATGATATAGGCTATAATAATACATGCCCTATTTTTTCTTAAAAGGGTGTTGTAAGACTCTAACTCCTAACTGGTGCTATGGAAGTGTAGGAGTTTATCATTGTGTCTGTGTGCTCAAATATTTTTATGTGCATTCTCGATTCCTAGCCCTTCCCCGACCCAGCCAGCTTCACTGCAGCCAACACTGATGGAGGACCTGTAGGGGGTCTTTGGAGAGACACTGAAGGGCACAGAAATAATCCATGCTCTGAGAGAGTTTACAAAGGGCTCATCAGGAATGCACATACGCAGACATCAAAGCATGAGTAAAACACTATCTCAAATGGCAACTCATTAGCACAGCACAGATCTATATGCAAATACGATGGGGCAAGGAGTCTGGGGAGAGCAAAGCCAGGTGGTGGCTCCTGGAAGGCTGCAGATATAACAGAAGGAACTTCTCCCCAAAGTTTCTGGGTCCCATACTTGACACAGGTGAACTGTGTGTCATCCTTCTGTGGGTCCAGCCACATGGCCCTGATCTTCTTTGTAGTCACAGGATGCAGTGGCTGACCTCACAGGGGATGTCATAAGCAGGAGAGGAGGTATAACTTGGTAGGCAGGGTAGGATGCATGTTTTTCAAAATCAGTCTGACAGAACCTGATCACAGGGGTGGAGGTGGGGGCTATACCCAGAGGCATGGACAGGGAGGATGAGGCAGGGAAATCTGTGCAAGGTTAGCATGGGGGCCACTGGCGTTTTCCTCCTGTTTTAGTGGGTTTGGGAAGTGACTACGATGAGAATAAACTACGTTTGCAGAGAGCCACATCCTGGTGGCGGGGGGAACGTGGAGGAAGGCTGAGGCACGGCGTGGGATCAGTTGAGCATCCTCCGGGCCGGTGGAGGTTTGTATCATAACTCAGCAGGGTCTGGAGAGACCAGGAAGATGGGGAGGAAATCACAAAATCAAGATCTCCAAACCTGGACAAATCCATAGTAACGCGTCTAGGGACTCAGAGTCCTGAACACAGATATTAACCAGGAGGGGGATCTTGGAAGGAAACATTTGTTTTCCAAGAACAACAACAGAAGAGCCAGCATTTTGTGAGGGACACTCAACCTCCGTGCACAGGAAGGGGGTGGGGAGGCCTGGCCTTTGGCCCTGGGGTAGCCTGGGAAGATTTGAAATGGGTGCCTTCTCACCTCTGCTCATTACCAAAATGGGCCTTCTAGATTGCGCTCAACATTTATGTTTCTCCCTCATTCGCCTTTTGTCCATATGAACGAACATTCCCCCCCTCTTTTACCCCTTACGTTCACTGACTCTCCAAGTGCTTCCTGCAACAGAGACAAGGCTGGAAGCAGACAAGGGGGAGGTAACGGAGTCCATTCTTGTCCATGAGGTCATATTAATCTAGCCAGAATCCACCAAATTTGGAAGAAGTGATATGCCTGGGGTGGGTGAAAATCACTTTTGTCCAGTCTGTCAAAATTTATGTAGCTGTTTTGAGTAGAGAGACTGATATTGCAGGGGCTACTTTTGCTGTTCCCAGAAGCCTATGAGGACATTAGCTTATGAGTCCTTCGCAGGCAAGGAGATGCTGTTAACTTCCAGCAAGTTATATCTTTTTAGGAAAGCAGGCTTAGAGGAAGCCTCATTTCCAAAACAGGAGTAATAAATGTCGTGGCAGGCTGTTGAAAGGAGTGGTGATGAAAAAAAAAAAAAAAAAAAAAAAAAAAAAAAAAAAAAAGAAAGGAGTGGTGATGATATCGGATGTCTAGCATAGAGGCACACACAACACATGATAGCGGGTACTTTTACTGTTGTCGTTGTTGTTCACACGTGATGTGAATAGGGCGGCACAGTCGGCAATGAATCGGCCGACTCTTTCCTGCTGTTTCCCTTCATA